CCCCAAAACCCCAAAACCCCAAAACCCCAAAACCCCAAATATAATTCTATAAATTGAAAGCAAGCTAGATTGTTAAAAGAAGAGAATATCCTTTAAATATCCAATTATTTGCTATTTGTACCCTCTATCAATTTTAATTTTTCATCATGAATTCGTTTTACAGCATCTTTTGATAACTGTGTCCAGTTGGCAGTGAGACATCTGTATAAAAAGCTGGAGAAGCATACAAGAGTTCCTATTTGAATACCTCCCCAGATTCCTTTGAGTTGTAAATCGAATACAAATGTGAGGATTACTGCTCCTGGGAGAGAGAATATCCAGTACCCTACAAGGGTAACAAAGCTACCAAAATCCTGAGATCCAATTCCTCTGAGAACTCCTGCAAGAACTCCTTGAGGGAAGTCTAGCATGACCATCACAACTACAACAGGAGTAGTGTCTCTGACAATGATGTTGACTGAGTCTTCTTGAGTATATATTCTTGAGAGAGAACTTCTGAATGTGAAAATAAGTATGTCAATCACAGTTGTAATCATAAATATAAGTAACAAAGCTGAATGGAAATACTTTCTTGCTTTGGAAGGATTTCAATCTCCTAATCAATTTCCAATAAGATTTGCACTAGCAAATCCTATTCCAAACGGAATTTGGAACAAGAAATAGAGAAAATTTTGAAAGATTACATGAGCAGCGAGAACATCAACACTGACCATGCCCGCAAAAATTTCTAGAACTTCAAAAGCCCACCACTCTAATCAGAGCATACAAGTTGCTGGAATGCCATATCTAATGTATTGACCCCATCCTGCAAAGCTATCTTTGTTAAAGAATGACCAGGATTGCTCATGGACAATCCCCTTTTTATATGTCAACAAAAGTGTTGCACTGAGAAGATTTAGCCAAAAAGTGATTAATGTTGCTATGCTCACCCCTAAAATTCCCATATCGAGGACAACAAATAATAAATAAGTCCATAAGAAGTGGAGAACCATAGTGCTACATTGAATGATCATGGTAATATGGAAAATCTCCATCCCTTGGAGATACCGTCTCAGAGTCTCGAACTGGGTCATCGCAAAAAGACCTGGAATCATAGCTATATCAGAATTAGAAATTTATTTTCATTTGAAAATAAAGCTGCATTCCAACCATTCTTGAAGATGTTCTCTCAGATTGCAAGAGGTTCCAAAACTTACCACAAACATATAATCTTGCGATTTCTGATGCCTCCTCTTCTTGTTGGAACAGGATCAATATCTGTTTTGTGAATAGTAAAAGTATAGCTCCAGGTACGAAAAGAATGGCTTGGATAATTCTTGCTCTGTTGAGATACACTCCTCATAAATAGTATTGCTTGTTTCCGTGGGATTGAGATACAAGCGTGTCTAAAGCCCCATTCATACCCATTCCGATAGAAAAGATTATGATGTTAACAAGCATATTGCCAAGTCCGACTCCACTTAAATCTTTGGCACCACCATACTGTCCTACAAATACCAAGTTTGATACCTCTGTAAGGACTTGGAAGACTAGTCCAAACATCGAGGGTATAGAAGCAAATAGGATTTCTTTTAGAGATCCCATGAGAGGTATCTTCTGATCCTTAAAAGCCATCATACTCTTTTCAAACAGTAAGGATTCTTGACTTCCATGGCTCTCTTCAATAGAGAAAGACTCTCATTCTACTGATTTCTTTAGAGCATTATCTTTATGGGTCTGCTCTTGGTCTGACATTTTAATAATACTTATGCTTCAATTCACAGCATATATTACGGGGTTTTGGGGTTTTGGGGTTTTGGGGTTTTGGGG